ATAATTAATAAACAAAATCGTGGGCACTTAGTATGCACTTTGTCACAATCCACAACACAAAATGAACGTATTTATACACTCTATAGCTCTAAAAACTTTAAAGACACCTTTTTCACATTTAAAATTGACAAAATAATTAACTCAAAATTTCTCAGCTGTTATTTTTATAAGTTTACCATAAGCAACTAATAATACACACTATCATGACAAGGCCACGAAGGCTTTGACAAGGACTACAATGACGTCACAACTGTCACATGAAGCGCGGGAAGAGGCGAACGTACGTGTTATGAGGATGAACAATCCTATTAGTTTACCGTTCTTGGTTTTAGAGCTATTTCAGATGAAAGTTTTCAAATGTCGATTTTCTGGATATTGTATAACCCGAAGGATGTCTCGCTATTGGAATTACATGTACATTTTATTGGCAGTCGCTTGACAGTAACATATAGACATTTTGGCAGTACATGTACATTTTTTACTCAAGTGAGACACCTCTCGGTATAACCTTTAAAAAAAGATTGTTTTTATTTTTTACACTTTTTTTTAATGTATAAAAACCAGTGGCGGCTTAACCATAAGGTCAAATGATCAATGCCCCCCCTCCCAAAAAAAATCAGAAGAAAATTAGGAAAAACCTATTTAAATTATACTTTTTGTAAATAACTTTTTTTCGTCCGAAGATATTCTAAACTATTCCCAAAAACCATCAATTTGTCCAATTTTCGCTTCAAAGCGTTTTATTTTACCCATTTTCTCTACTGCCGGTCAAAATTTCATTTTATCCTTCATTCCCGCTATGCTTTGCACGTATTAAACTCCAAACGCCGCGGCTCGTAACGCCAACAAGGTAAGGTATACTACGTATAGAAAATATAACGGGTTAAGGTGCGATAGATATACTTTATATTGGCCATTGACCGCCTCATTCATAAAAGGATTTCAGGAAAAATTTCGCCGTTTGGGCAGTTTGGGTGTTTATAAAAACTCAAATTATAAAACAACCTAGCTTTTTGTATCGTTTGTCGCGTATAATGTTTGGTTTAGTCAATATAAAGCAATATTTAAATTTTTAATATCGAAAGAAATCCCATCTATAGTTTGAGGTGTAGCGCGAAATTTGTGTAGTTAATATTTCATAATTTTCTGGTTATGGATAAATGATGAACTGTCGTTCTTGTGTTTAGAATAGACAACATGGTGTTTAGTTTGTGAAATCATGCGGTTAAAAGAAAACAATTGCTTAAATTTCGAAAAACGTTTAGAGAAAGAACGCCGTATTGACTTAAAATATAAAAAAATGTGAAATAAAACTTTTAGAATTGTGTATGTGTATATATGCATTTATATTTTTGTGGCATTATTATTTATGAAAAAACTCAAAATTTAAGTGAGGATGCAGTCAATAATCACCACACAGACAGGCTAATAAAACAACTTCTTCAAATTTGTCAAGCTTTCGAGAATTTTATTCCCATCATCAGGACAGTTTTACTTAGTCAATTAGCAAAAATAACATCCTCTGCACAAAAAGGCCTTAAAACTAGCATCATATGACATTGGAATACAAGGAAATTTCTTTTATAAAATATTAAAATACATATCCAACGACATTACTTTTTAAAACAATTTTTTTTTTAATTTACTAAGACTAATTCCTACATTGCTGTTTCGAGATCAAACAGTGACTCTCAGAGTCACTGTTTGTTCGAGCAGTATATTGATTTGGAGTAGTAAACTTATTACATTTTCAATGTTCTTTTCCTAAACCATATAGTATTCTCTTTTTTAAAAATAGACAATCATAATTATACAAGACAAACGGTTTCTTAATCGAAAAAACCTCGCATAAAAAGAACAATTTATGCGTTCTATTTTTACAATATTTTATTAAGACGAGGGCATCTTTAGACGATAGTAGTTCGTCTCGTAAATTAAGTTTTACGCCTTTACAAGTGCCCATGCAAGGCGCGTTAAAAACGAAATCCAGTGGCATCAGTCCAACAATACATATATAAAACTTATTCAAGGATTCATCGAGTCGCCTATTTCCATTTCGAAACGTGGTAGTTTGTAATTAGTGAGTTCTGAAATCCCTGGGCCTACACGGACAAACACTAATGATTTTCGTGTTTGTCTCCAACGGTCTTTATTTTAAAATGGAAAGAGATGGATAACCTGCTTCCTTTAACTTCAGTGTTGACTCGTAAAGAATACTTTCTGTTCAAAACATCCTGCATGACAATAATATTTCTAGACAAGTAAAACTTTGCTTTGAATATATTTAGTTTTGCGAGAAATAAAACTGAAACTATAAATAACACATTTGTCTTCTTCTTGTAATAGGACGAGATCCTGTCAATTCTGTCAATTATTGTCTTCTTGTGATGTTGATGTCGTTTTTGGAGCCTACCAACGTAGGGCGTCTTGTATCTGGCTTTTAGGCAATTAATAAATTAGGCAAAGAAAATATAGTCATCTAGGTGCCTGATGCTCACCAAGGGGTAGAAGGCAATGAAAAAGCAAATGATCTAGCTAGAAAAAGAGCGAACACTCCACTAACTGGACAAGAACCGTTCTGTTTTCCAAATGGGAATCAACTGAAAACGGAACTGAAGAATCTGGAAGACTCCATCCGTAACTTGGAATGGGTGTCCTCCAACGGTCTAAGACACTCGAAAAAGTTCCTCAGAACTTACGACCGAGATAAATCAAAGGTTTTCCTTGAGTTAAGTAAAAACAATCTTTGGATTGTCACGGGGTTTCTAACAGGACACTGTCTACTCAATGAACACCTCAGTAGAATGAAGCTAAGAAACAAGGGCGAATGCAGATTCTGTTGGGAAAATGGGGAAACACCAGAACACCTTATCACTGAGTGCGCCGAGACGACGACCATTCGTGCCATGAACTTTGGTGCGGCTGATGTCGAGGATGAAGAGCTGGCCTCTGTGAAGTCGTCTCAGATACTGGCATTTGTTAAAGCCCTGAGACTGTATGATGAGTTATAACTCGTTATAACTCAAGAAAGGGGAATACACAATAGATCTGTAAGGTCGCGGTGATTAACTCCCCTCCTAAACTTGGCTTTTGGTTTTGGCCCACTTGGCAATTCCATCCGCACTCACAGCAGCGCCTTGCTGACATCTGACAACGTCCTGTACTCCCAACTCTCTTAGTATTTTTATCTCTCTGTAATAAATTAGTGGTTTCAATTACACTTTATACTTTTTAGTTTACGATCATTCACAATGCTTAAAAAACACAATAAAAATTAATAGAATGTCCTGGCAACAGCTTGCGCTAGTCAATTGTATCCATAGAGAAAGCCGTAACCTATTTTTACCTATTTTCCCTTTTAGAGAAATGAAAGCACCGCCACTGTTTTATTCCTACGTCACTCGAACAAATTCTATTTCTGAATCGAATTTTCCGGCTCAAGATGAACTTGGTCTGTCCGACTTGGAGACGGAACGATGTCAATTATGTGAGGATACTCACTATTTTTACAACTACAAATATCCCCCGTATTTAGGTTTCTATTTCTGGTGAATAGTATTGTCGTTACTCCCCTGTCATTAGTGAATAGTTAACTATGTCGTTACCAAATATTTAGCTACGTATTTAAATAATAGTAGAATTAAAATAAAAGAAAAAGAAATTTAAATCAAAATTATTTGATTTTTATACTATAAACATAGATATAGTGATATACCGGGTGTTTTTGAAAAGTAACCCATATAACTTCTTTATTTTTTTAGACAAAAAAAAACAGGATTTGGTATGTTACGATAGTGCCATACAATCGAGAAAAAAAACGACGTCAACAATGGCTATGAAATAAAAATTGCTGTCATTTTATATGTAAAATTAAATGTTTTCGTCATCGATCATAATTTCCAAGCCAAATGGACGCCTTTTTTTCCATAACGGTATATGACATAAACTAAGATTGACTGAAGCATTCAATTGTTTTCGATCACATCATGTTCTATCGGAAATTACTACAACTTTTGATTTTTAAGTGAGACCCTCGGTATTTTTTACTTTATTTGATAGAAAATGTTATTATATGTCAAAAATACCATTGTAACGACAATTCTCGAAATATCAAGTATGTGGTAGGCACCAAATTATTCGTAAAAAAATGTTTTTTTTTCCAAATATGCTAATGATCCACCCTCATTCCATTTGAAAAAATTGAGATATTATTAAAAGTACGATTTGGACATCTTTTAAGATACGAAAAACATTAGACGATCGACTCTATTTTTCCAAAGCTCCTTGATAAAAATTAGTGTTTTTAACACAACCATGGCATTCTAGATTGAAATTTAAAATACGATTTTTTAAGTAAAATTGCCAAAAGTTGACATGTGATATGTCATTCTATTCGGAGTGTCATTTTCTATCGAATAGAGTAAACAAATACCGAGGGTGTTATTTAAAAATCAAAAATGTAATCATTTCCGGTGAAACAGGAAATGACCAAAAACAATTACGTCAATCAATCCTAATTTATGTCATCTACTAATATACCAAATCTCGTTTTTTTAACTGAAAAATTACAAGAGTGTAGGTATATAGGTAGTAGTGATTAGCTTTAGAAAATTTGAATATCTTTCAAGGCAAAGTTTTCTATAGGTTTATTTTTAATTTATTTCTAGTTTTTTTGTTGTGAAAAACTAGATATGTATATTAATGGGTATGGTGCGAGTATTACAATGTCACATACATAATCCACTCACAAAGTATCATCAACAGTTCATAAGTTTTAATCACAGCCAGTCGGTTTTTGTAGTTTTTGAGTACCCACGCTTCACCTGCCACGTATGTTCTCGTACTCATTCATGCAGCAGAGAGGCAGGCAGAGCAGCAGCCTCGATAGTTTTTCTAAAGCCGGTCTTACACGACGCGTTCAACGTTGATTCCAATGTTATAACCAACATTTGACATATATTTAAGTAGTAAGTTTACTTACATTTCATATTTTCTTACAGAGCGAATCAGTAAGTCCACACAACGAAGAATCTGCTAGTCAGGACTTTAGCCAAAGCGGTGGTGAAGCCTCCAACAGTGTATCGGACTACAGTAGCGGTGCGCCAGTTTATAACATGCTGTATCCTGGCTATTACGTCAACGGAACTTCTTTAAATGGTAAGATATCCACTCTTGCAATGAGCAATTGAGGGTTTATTTCAATTTATCAATTCTACTCAGTTAACAGAAAAGAAAACACTCCATATACCTCTAGAATATTGTCTTATAATTTTTGACCACGCGACCAAACTTAATACTCGGTTTTACAAAGTCTTAAGCTTCATTCAGAACCTCGCAATTAGTGGAATAAATTAGTAGTTTCAATTTCACTTTATACTTTTTAGTTTACGATCACTCACAATGTTTAAAAAACACAATTAAAATTAATAGAATACCCTATATATATATACAACAGCTTGCGTTATTCAGTTGTATCCATAGATAAAGCCTAATATTTAGCTTATAGAACAATAAACTTTTGATTTTTAACTACAATTTCTCTTGAGTGAAAATAATCAAAGGTTAAAATGACATTTGTCGCAAATTTTGAAGTATAATGTGTGGAAAAGTCAAAAGTTTGATAACTTTTTCTACTAATTGAAAATGTCTACCACCAATTTTGACGTTCTGAACGCTTACATTGAAATTAAAGGAACAAACTTCTACGCTAATAGAAACCATTAATTTATTCCACTAATTGCGAGGTTCTGAATGAAGCTTATAGGCATTTACACACTAAAGAACATTGGCAAACAGGTTTCCAAACGTTTGTTTGGATATGTAGATTAGATTAAATTATTTGAGGTGGCTGTCGGCGTGATCCATTGCGACCTTTTCAGATCTATTGTGGTCCTCTTCCGATCCTTAAGTTACATTCTCCAGTTCTATCGTTTTTAGAAAGCCTATAGCAACTTGGAGTTGGACTAAACCTTCCATGTAACTCTCTGCCAATGGCCTCTCATTGCCAATGGCCTCTCATTACCGTGAACCGCACATTTTCCAGGCTGCGCGCCGTAATATAATGAGTTCTGTTGTTTCTTCTTCAGATTGACAGAACCTGTACATATCTTCGTCCGTTAATCCCATTAGCTTTATTATACCTATTTAGCCTGTCTTTCGGTCTTTGTTACGTCTATCGTGAATTTTGGCGAAAGCTATGAATTTTTTCCCTCTCTCTGCCCTGGTGAGTTTTGCCACCATTTTAGGGATTTGTTGGCCACCCATCGTTTTGTGCTCAGGTTTTTTCCAACGCCACAGAAGGGTTCTGGACCTTGAAGTGTATTGATGTGCCTTGTTGGCCAATACCTTGCCTATCTTAGGAAGATATATGGCTTTTGCCATTTTTTCCTTATGACACCCCATGCCAGGCTAGCTTTGAGAATTTTACATATATGAGGTATTAATACCTCAATCCTCAATCCCCATCTGGATTAGTATGATACACTGTCTGCACCTGAAGACTTGTACGGCTGGAGTTTATTTATTGCCCATCTTATTACTTGGTCTTGTGACTTCTGTGGCCATTTTCCAATCTAAAGGCCTTGGCCTGGCCAGCCTTGGGTCTAGATTGGTTTGTCTGGTAAAACCACTCAGAATAATCGAGGAACTTTTATTATTTTTTAAGACTTTCCTCTATAGTTTCTGTATAACCTGCCAGGACTTTATGAATACGAGAGCATGCCGGGACATCTGTAATTTCCTAAGAGAACTTTCTCCGTGAATTCCTTTTGGCTGTGACTTGCCATCCACACCGAAGCAGCATTCGTTTGCAATAGTTGTTTGCAAAACCGATTTTTAAGGTTGATTCTCACTATACGTTCCATATCAGCTCCCTTCCGTTTACATAAAATATTATATCATGTAAATGAATAGGACAACGCACACTACTATATCCTTTCCTTCCATATATTTTTTTGACGGACGCACATGAAGCGTATCGGAAACAGCGTTGACAAGTTACATTTATACCAACTCTGTTAAAATTTTGCTGATATTTATTTATTCTCTCACCTATTAATTAAATCTATTACTTTTTTCAAAAGATACAAATTTTTAAAATATCTATCTATCTATCTATCGTATGGCTAAGCATCACAACAAAACATGGAATCACAATCACTGTCAAGTAAAGAGCAGGAAATAAGTATGTGTGCAAACAATAATAATAGTCTGACATGACTGGAGAATAAGAGTCTAAAATGTACCAACAAATATACATACAACAAGTATTACAAACAAACATCTAAGTTACTGCACTGTCTGTAGCTTCCAGGAAATCATCAAAGGGACCGGAATAGGATCTTAATGGGCATGCTTCTACTATGTGCCAGATAGTTTGTCTGCCGGTGTTGCAGTCGCATTCTGGGGAAGCTGACTAACTACTATTCTATTTAAACATAGAATCGGCACACCTCCCATGATTTGTCCTTATCCGGTTCAACGCAGACCATGTTTTACGTGGCATGTCAAAGCCTGGTAGGTTCTGAGTTATAGCTGGCATATTCCCGGCGTGGTCTGGTGACTCTGATTCCCATTCCCTAATCCATGACTCCGTTAATTTAAAACCGTCCCGGTATAAGCTGCTTGCGGTTGTTAATGTTGGACGTCTTGAACGAAGCCTGTACCTATCCAGATCATGGACATCCAAATGTATCGGCAGTTGCGGCTTGTTAGTGATTTTAGTGTATTCCCTAAAAAGTGCATACTGCCTGCGTATATGTGGAGGAGGAATATTACTTAGAATAGGAAGCCATTGGGTGGGAGTTGATTTTATTGTTCCTGATATAATACGCATTGTATTGTTCAACTGGACGTCCACCTTTCCTGTGTGAGAACTATTGAGCCACACCGGGGCACAGTACTCAGCAGTAGAGTAAACCAAACCCAGCGCAGAGGAGCGCAAGGTACTCGCGGATGACCCTCACGTGGTGCCGCATAATTTATGGAGGATATTATTCCGAGTATTGAGCTTAGCTGCAGTTTGTGTGAGGTGCTTCTTAAAGGGCAAAGTTCTATCTAGTGTAATGCCTAAATATTTTGGGGTGTTGTTGTGGGACAGCCAGTTACCTTCAAACCTTATTTTAAGTTCTTGGTTTGCTAATTTATTATTAAGATGGAAACAACTAACTTCCGACTTTACCGCGCTCGGTTGCAACCTCTACTGGCGGAAATAGTTTCCCAGGGAATACAGGTCTTCCGCAAGAACAGCCTCTGTCTCCTCGAGGTTTTTATGTCTTGTAGCTATCGCCCAATCATCCGCATACCCAAAGTTTCTAGTTGAAGTAGCGGGCATATCAGCGATATATAAATTAAACAGCAATGGAGCTAAGACAGAACCTTGTGGCAATCCGTTATTAAGTTTCATCTTTTTGCTTTCTTTCTCTCCCAGTTTTACCTGAAAGAGTCTATTTCGGAGCATATCGTCGATTAGGTTGACGGTTTTTCAGCAGGGGATTTCTTTAGCTAGCTTACAGATCAGTCCCTGTCTCCAAACTGTATCGTACGCCACGTTCATGTCAATAAAAGCAACTGATGTTTTTTCTTGGCGTTGAAATCCTGCTTCGATGTAAGTTGTTAGGGACAGAACCTGATCTACGCAGCTACGTCCAGGACGAAAGCCAGCTTGTTCAATCGGTATACTCCCTATTATCTTTGGGCTTACTCTGTTGTAGATTAGTCTCTCCAGAAGTTTGAGAATGTGCTCAGCAGTGCGATTGGGCGATAACTTTGTGGCTTGTCTTTAGGCTTACCAGGCTTTAGGATGGCAATGATTTTAGCGCTTTTTAGTGACTGTGGAATAGTGCCTGTTTTAATTATGTCGGTGAAAAAGTGCATCAACCATCGCTTTGTAAATCCACCACAATTCAGAAGGAATTCCGAGTGGATGCCGTCAAATCCCGGAGCTTTGCCAGCCTTAATATGTTCTAATGCAGCTAATACTTCTTCGAAAGTAAAAGGCTGGGAGTATGCTGTCTCCTCAGCACAGGATGATTTAAGCTGTTTTAATTGTCGCTTGATTTCGATTGTGTGTGCACAGTCCCTTGGTGCTCTTGAGGTATCAACAATATTAGAGGCGATTTCGTTTGGAGTCACAGGAGTGTCCACTCTTGTTCTTTGATTATCTCCACCCAGTTTTCGTAATAATACCCAAGCTTTTCTGCTGGATTTTGTAAAGTCTAAATTTTCAACAGTTTCCGTCCACTTCTGGCGTCTCGCAGAGTTTAAACTGTGCAGAAGTTCGTCAGCTATTTCGCGGTCACCTGATTCTAGAAATTCCCTGTATAGCCTTTCGCTAGTCTCGCCCCATCCCGGGATGTACTCCTTTCTATAACCCCTAGGTATGGTTTTCTTGGCGGTGCTTATGATAGCACCAACAAACCTTTCATAATTTCTCCCTAGAGGGGGGATCCAACCTAAGCATTTGTCGAGATTATTGAAGAATGTTTTCCAATTTGCTTTATTGAAGTTCCATCTCGGGCGGGGAAAAGATTTTACTAAAGGGATACTCAACCCAATTTCTATTAACACAGGGCGATGTTGGCTATGTGGAAAATCAGCCAGGACAGTTCGTGTAGTTGGAAGCGGATGTTCATTGCTGTCTGAAGAAACGAAACACAAATCTGGATTATAATCCTGTCTCCATGCTGCAGACTTAAAAGTACCGGGATCTTTGGCGCTAAATACGAGATATAGGTTGTGCTCGTCTGACCAGTCCATGAGGCTTTCGCCATTCAAATCAATTTCCCTGTATTTCCATTTGGTGTGGTGGCTGTTGAAATCTCCTATGTATACAGCTGGGTGAGACGTGCTGTGGCCATGGTGCAGCGGGAGGTTTGTAAATATTACACACTGTGATCTCACCAACTTGAATGGTAATTTCATGGATATTGTTACTTGTAGAAGCACGCTTCAGAGTTGCATTTTCAATTGTGTTCCGAATGTAAGTGGCAGTACCATAAGATCTATTATAAGTGGCACCTATAAGCTCATACCCAGGAATCCTTGCTCTTAACTGGAGTTGATCCTCAGTTTCCGTATGAGTTTCCTGGATTGCCAGTACGTCGACATCGTAGTCAATTAAAATCTTGTGAAGGAGATCGCATTTTGCTCGACTAATC